TGCGTAAAGGCATTTTCCTAGCGAGAAAAAAAAGGGTCTCGCCTAAGTTCGGGGTGACAAGGTCTTACTCAACTACCACATACTAACCCAGAGCGGGTCGGCTGACTTCACACATAACTTAATTACAAAATCAAAATAATGCGAGGTAGTAGAATTAGAGGATAAAAAAAGCATTAATTAGCTGTGGTGTAATGTTGTAGTCGATGTTTACTGACCTATCAAAAAAGTACTCATTATCCTGTAATGAGTAGTCGTTGCACAGTTCGATGATGGCTTCGTGCGTGTTGCAGTCGCGCAGGCGACCGAGGCGGGTGTGCGGCAGCCGCTCTAGCGTGCTCCACATCACCTCGTGCCGCACGCCTCCCACGTTGATGATGACGCGCTTGCTGAGCGCCTTCGCGCGCAGCATCATAAACGGTTCCGGCGGTAGTGACGACATCGACCTGAAAATATTCCATTTTTAAAACTTTAACGGGTATTACAACAGAATTTGCCTATTTGTGGAAAATCGGGGATATCCACGTAAAACGTGTTACATATTATAATGATTGGTTGGTAAGTTTTACAAAACTAGCTTTTGCTCGCGACTTAATCTGTGTGAAATTAAAAAAATCAAAAATGAGTAGCCTTTGTGTTCTTCCAGACTATCCTCTAAATCTATACTTAAATTAACTTAAATTCCATCGAAATCTGTAAAGCCGTTTAGGCTACAAACTCTTACAAACATCCATCCATCCATCTAAACATTCGCATTTATAATATTTGTAGTATAACTAAAATAACTGAATTTAATAAAATTGAAATAGATTCTACAGCGTCTTTAAGTCTTATCAAAAATTTTCTGTAACAAAATTTTAACTATATTAAAATGTAATAAAATGTAGCAGATGTTACATGAAATTGATTTTCCGAGCCATACCGTAATAACGAAAGCGTGTCCCAATTCGTGAGACCGATAGCCTCATTGAAAACGCATAAAATTCAGAAAATCCTTTATTAAATCTGAAAATGCGGTTTGTCCATAAAACTCTGTTTTGAAGCAGCTGTTTCGAAGCTACAAAACTTGTTCCAGATTTTAAAGTTTTGAACTAAAAACTCACGAAAGAACATCGTCCACAAATATACGAGGAACTTATCGAACGTTTATTAAAAGTGAACAAAT